ATATTCACAAAAAATACATTTTACAACCATTATGGTGTTCCCTTTCAAGCAATAATTGAATAATAGTTTAACATACAACCGATTTATTTTTTTCTTTTAATTCACATATTTAATATTGGTAATAGTTGTACAATTACATCTAGTTGACTTTTTTCTTAGTATGAATATTTCAAATCTATGTCAGAAAAATATACCACAAGTTTATCTAATATTATTTTATAATTAATAAAATTAATTTAACATGGATCTATAATTATTTTATAAGATTCTTTTAATTTCTACTAACAGTTCATAATATCTCTATGAAATAACAAGTCATTAAAATTGCTGATATTTTTTTGTCATTGTATAAACTACTACAATACTCTCTCTCCATATAGATAAATTGGTGCGTACCCCATTTAGGCATCGCCCATGGGGTGTGAACGAATTTCATTTCTAGATAAAAGTTGAATTTCCAAATTCTTGAGTACATATACTTCCCTTGAGAAGCTAAATTTTTGAAATCATCACAAATTACATGAAAGTACATACTATAAAGTAATTGCACATATATATGTTTGAGCACAATACACTAATGTAATTAAAAATATTCCAATTAAAAAGTAATTCAAACATTCAAAATATTTTGATCAGGCTCCAACATTCTCTTTTCCATGATGTTTATTTGGAAGATAGACGAACTACATAATCTGTTATTTGTAAATCATTGATCATCTTGGTTGTTGCAATGATTTTAGCGGTTTTGCTATGAAGCCAACAGTTGGCTCCATAGTGGAGCCAACCTTCTATATACAACAAGTAAACCTACCATATTCGTTGATTACTTAAATAAACACTAATATAATTTTATTAATATGGTAAGTTTACTTGTTGTATATAGAAGGTTGGCTCCACTATGGAGCCAACCGTTGGCTTCATAGCAAAACCGATGATTTTAGAGTTGTTTATCATAACATCTCTCACATTCATTCGGATTTGCACTATTTATGTATGTAATAACTTCTTTAATGCTTTTACTGACAAACTTTTAGCATCATACATACTGCTTACATAATCCAAGATAGAGATCATTTGGTTCTCCAACAATGACAAAATACAACAAAACAATGAAACAATATTGAGAAACATATCATTTGTCAAAATATTTGAGAAGGGAAGAATTAGAATTCTATTATATTATGATATTCTTAGTCATCTGTAAACTTTATTATTACGAAGTCGTTATTAATTATGTATAACAAAGTTTGTAATTTTTTTATTTACTTAAAATTCAAAACTGGTGTTCCAGGATCATTATTCGTGAGAACCAATTTCTTACAGAGTCTATATATTTAAAAGCAAGAAAAAAATAGTAATTTAAAGGCTTTTTGCTAGATATTGGTATTCATACTATTGGGATCTATAAGGATCGCCGCTAATGTGCAAGTAACAAATTTAACTATAAAATTACCTATGCGCAACGGATCTTAGATAAAAGTAGAAGACTCACGGTTTAATAATTTGCCGACTGTGAGACGTTATAGATTATCACTGTAGGAGATCGTCTGAGTCACAAAGTCCGTTGGCCAGCCAGAAGAAGCTTTCTTGGATTATCGCGGGTCGCGTACCGGCAGACAGGGAGCTTGCGGGCCGCGAATGGTGCCAGTAAGCGCGTCTCGAGTCGCCTGGCGTCAAGCGGGTTGCGGTATTGTTGTGGGTGCACGACGTCGGATCGCTGCAGTGTGGAAGATTCAAGTGCATTCTAATGAATATTAACGTTTAATACGAAATCAAACCTACAATCCTCTAAATTACGCTAATAAAGTCAAGAACAGTGTGGAACTGTGGAAGTGATCGAAAACCGATTTCACGATGAAAATGAAGAATTCATATTCTTCATGTTCTTGGAAAATCAAACCTTTTAATCAAAAATTAAGTTGTTGACCTTTTGATTAACATAATTCAAAAAAAATCAAGTGACAAGAAGATCAAGCCAGTGATTTTACTCCAAGACACAAATTTGATTGAAAAAATAAAACAAGGAATGACTGTCCTCAGAGAAATGAGGAGGCAACCTCAATTCAAATCAAGATTAACAATGCTTAATTCGACATTCAACTTGCTTTCAACTTTCTTTCGTCATGTGTTTGAAATGAGAAATACCTCCAAGGCGTGATTGGGTACCAGTTAAAACCGATTTTGAGTGATCGAATAAATTTTTTACACTGCTAAACTCAAAATCCGGCTCAACTCTATTCAATATTATCAATATAATTAAATAATATCAGCTGATCATCCTCACATATCACATCAATTTTAATTCACTATTCATACACTCACATATTTTTAAATATCTATCATTTTCAATATAACTTCTCTTCTACTTTAAGATCACATCAGTTTTAATTATTATATTATACATATTATTTAAATACAAACTCAAAATCGCATCAATCATTCACTTAATCAACTTTATTCGGCTTTAACCAATAAACACAATTGATTTATTCAAATATAAAGAATAAATTACTTTAATTACCAATAAATCAATCAAAATCAAATCTATTTATATCCAATCACGCCCTATGTCCTCGAGTCAACATTAATGATTTATATCGTTCTTACGAGAGATCCGAGAATTAAGTCAGTCAAGAAGTTACTCCCATCAAGTCGAATCTTATAATTTAGCTCAAAAATGAATCATTCAACTCTCAAATTAACGTTATTCAAATTCAAGTTGAAGGTAAGACAATATACAATTTCCAGATCCACATTCGAATATTAAAAAAAAAAGGAAAATGATAGGGTTCTATACAGACACTTTACCCGTAATATCTTCAATAAATTTGTACTTTTTTTTTTGCATAAAATTATGATCTAAACCTATATAAAAAAAATGTTAGAAGTGTACTAATCGCTTTGAGACAGGCAAAATTGAAAATATTCACCAACCTGCAAATAAATAACAAAATGAGAGGTCGGGCCTGACACTATGTATTGGGGGTTCTCAGAGAATGGGTGTTTTACAACAAAATCGGCCTACTCGTCGTTGTTTCGTGCATGTCCGACGAGTGCGAGTGACCGAAAATCATGGCCAATTATTTGGAAATGGGTTGGTTCGCAGAGGGTACGCCAGTTTCTTTGGCTTGTTGCGCAAGAAAAGCTGCTTACTAATGTTGAGAGATGGAGAAGGCACCTCACGGGCTCATCGACCTGTACACTATGTGGGCGATACGAGTAATCGACTCTCCATTTTCTTCATGATTGTGTAGGGGCAACACAGGTTTGACGGCGCTTGATCCCTGCTAACCGATACCCCGAGTTTTTTACCCTACCGTTGCAGGACTGGTTGCTCCGGAACTTGCAAAATGGTTTGAATATTGGAGTTTTTGGTTGGAAAATTGTTTTGGAGTCACGGTGTGGCAAATCTGGAGGGGCAGAAATGAAAAGATTTTTTGAAACGAGGAGTAGTTCAATGTCGCTAAGAAAGTCCGGGATGTTTGCTCATTTGTTCATGGAATCAAAATAGCCACCTCTGCTGAGAAACACCTGGGCAGCCTCGGAGTAGGACGTGAAGTACATTTATTCGACGAGAAGCTCCTGGAAGTGGAGTTGTCAAAATTAACGCGGATGGATCCTTTTTGTCTTCGTCTGGGATGGCGTCCTCTGGGGGTTTGGTTCGTGATGTCGAGGGTCATTGGCTTGGAGGGTTTGTGATGACTATTGGGTATTGTTCTATTACAGGAGCAGAGTTATGGAGGCTCTTCCAAGGATTATTGCTAGCCTGGGACTTGGGGTGTCGCAAGGTTATCGTGGAAGCAAACAATAAGAGTGTGGTGACAATGGCAGAAGGGGGTCTAACGGAAAATCTTGGGGTTCATGGCAGCTTGGTTCGTGCCATCCGAGACTTGCTTAACCAGGACTGCATGAGAGGCTAATGTGATTCATTGTTATAGAGAAGCCAACTTTGCAGCCGACTGTTTGATAACTCTAGTTCATCTATGTCCTAGTGGATGTCAACGGTTACCCGACCCACCATCAATAGTTAAACCGTAGTTATAGCACGACCTCATTAGCATGGCTTACCCGTAGAACATAGCTGCCTGATGGTCTTAGGCTTTAGGCTCCTCTCTTTGTACCAAAAACAAAACCAAAAAAAAAATAATAATAATAATAAATAACAAAACTTACAAGCATGCAACAAGATTTCAACTCCGTTAGGTCACCAAGTTGGTGCTGGGCAGTTTCGAGGTTAGTCCTCTTTGGTTGTGGGATTCTCTTTGGGTCGACTTGGTTTCCGTTGGCTCTGCTTGCTCTAGCTACTTGGGAAGGGCTCGGTTTGTTTCTTTTTGTTTCGTGTAGTGTTTGTTATGTTTTGTTTTGTGGGATTCTCTTTGGTTTGTTTCGGTGATTGTATCATTCAACTTTTAGCTGGTTTTCTTTTCACACTCTATGCATTTAGTACAACCCCTATCGTTCCGACCAAAAAAAAAAATGCAACAAGATTTCAATATTTTGTCCGCTTCTACAAATTATAAGTTGGTTCATTGACCCATTTCACGTAACAATTTCATTTATACCACTTTCTCAAACATGTATAGTTGACTTGAGACTAATAATAACTGTAGTGATAAAATAAAAATTACCATCGCATTAATCCGCTTGGCTAAAACGATTAAAATAAATTTAAGTTGCCAAGATAGAAAATAATATTCACCCACTTGCAGTTACCAAACGAAACTTGGTCACCTGCTTGTAAAGAATTCCAGTATTCAATTTCACATTCGTCAATTATAAAGCGGTACATTTCATTTCACATAACTACATTTATGGAAATAAATGTTAATTAAAAAATTCGTGTTGCCCGACTTGACATTTTAACTATGCCCCAAAATTTATATTAAATATCATTCAATTAATATAATCAGACAAACAAGACCAACTTCAATTATATATACTCTCTTTTCTTCGTAGCTTCAGCCTTCATGCAATATTCTTCCTTTCTTTCTTTTTCTCTCATGGAATATTCAAGTGGTTTTTCGGTGACTGTGAGGCAGAGTGAGGTGGTGAAAGCCGTGCTGCCAGTGCAAGACCACTGGCTGCCGATGTCGAACTTAGACTTGCTTCTGCCGCCGCTCGACTTTGGGATTTTCTTTTGCTATAAGAAAATCGCCGGAAAAGATGGTGAGAATATTAATTATTTGCCGGTAGATGAGCTTAAGAAGGCCCTAGCTCAAGTGCTAGCGACCTTCTACCCTCTCGCCGGAGAAATCGTGCAAAACCGGCAGGGTGAGCCGGAGATTCTATGCAACAACCGTGGTGTGGATTTTGTTCAAGCTTATGCTGATGTCGAGCTTAAGGACATCGATCTTTACCGGCCTGAAAAATCTGTTCATGGGAAACTTGTTCCTATTAAGATGCATGGAGTGCTTTCTGTTCAGGTATTAATTAGCTAACACTTATGACATGATTGATATGATAGAATGGTATGAGAATTGAATGATCATTCCTTACTTATTTTTAATTCCAAGGTTGGTATATCCTTAATAGTTTTGCTATGGAGCCATCGAATTGATCGACTTATGGAGCCATCCACACTTATTCACCAATAGTGTGTTGATACGTGTCATACAATAAATACAATTTGGACATGTGTTAATACATTAAATGATGGATGGCTCGATATATAAGAAAATCATCCGATGGTTCCATAGAATATTTGATATCTTAAATAAATAAATAATCATTCTAATAGGAATTGCAAAGCTCATCTCCATGGAATTAGCCCTTTCATAATTAATGCATGGTTTTCTCATTCATGTTTTTAATATATAGACTTTACAAAAAATATTGAAAAATAAACATATATTTATACTATAGATCATGATTAAATTATATTAAATAAAATTATTTTAAAACATAAATTTCAAATAAATAATGACTAATATTTTTATTTATATTTATTATTTATATTTTTGTTATATATATTAAATACTTATATTAAAATAAAATTCAGAAAAAATGCATTTTTAAATAGTTTAGAAAGATCTTGTTTTATTTTTTATAATCATATATATTATATATTTATTCAAATTATAAATTATATATAAAAACCTATATCCGACTACATATTCTTACAGGGGTTTATATAATATTATATTTATGTTAGTTAATATGTATATAAATAGGGTTTATATAATAATATATTTATGTTAGTTAATATGTATATAAATACATAATTCGCTTTTATTATAAAAGATGAGTGTAATCATACAAAAATATATTATTTAAATATATTATATTTTATAAATTAAATTACATTAGTATTATCATAAATTAATGAATATGGTTATAAATTAATCATTAGTATTTAAATATGTTTTGAGATTCCATAAGTCGTGTCATCCGATGGCTCCATAGCAAGACTGATTAATAAAGTCTAATAACACAATGGCAACCAAATACACTCTAACAGTAGTAATAGTGGTATGATAGCAAGCTTTCAAAAAATAGAATTTCGGGCTGAGAAAAGACTGACCCAATCCTCTTTCTCTTTACCTATACAATGGATCTCATATGGCGCAGGTGACGGAGCTTAAATGCGGTGGGCTATTCATCGGCTGCACTTTCGACCACCGGGCGGCCGACGCCACCTCCGCCAACATGTTCCTCACTGCTTGGGCCGAGACCGCCCGATCCCATCCCATCACCCTCCTCCCCTCCTTCCGCCGCTCCCTCTTCAACCCCCGCCGCCCCCCGCAGCCACATAAATCGCTCGACAAGCTCTACGCGCCGCTGGTGTCAATGCCTCCGCCGTCCTCATTCGGCGACCTCGACCGCCTCACCAGCCAGATCTACCTCGTCCCGTCCGACGAAATCGACCGCCTCCAGTCCCAGGCCTGCTGCAGCGGCGCACGGAGGAGCAAAATCGAGTCGTTCGGCGCCTTCCTCTGGAAAACCCTAGCCGGCGCCGCCGTCGGGGATCCGTCCAAGGCGGTGAAATTGGGGGTCGTGGTGGACGGGAGAACGCGTCTGGGCGCAGGTGCGGACCGATATTTTGGGAATGTCCTCTCGATCCCATACGTGGGGGAGAGCGCCGGTGCTCTCTGGGCGGCGCCGCTCTCGAAGGCAGCAGAGGCGGTGCACGGGTGCGTGGCGGAGGCGTCCGCGGCGGAGCACTTCTTGGCGCTAATCGATTGGGTAGAGATGCGGAGGCCGAAGCCGGCGGTGGTGAAGGTGTACTGTAGAGACGAGAACGATGAGGCGGCCGTGGTTGTGTCGTCAGGGCTGAGATTCCCCGTCCAGGAGCTAAATTTCGGGTGGGGAGGGCCGGAATTCGGGTCGTACCACTTCCCGTGGGGCGGGGAGACTGGGTACGTGATGCCGATGAGGAGTGCGAGGGGGAATGGGGACTGGGTGGTGTACATGCACCTCAAGAGGCGACACCTGGACCTGGTCGAGGCACGCGCGCCTCACGTGTTCAGGCCCTTCAGCACCGTTGATTATTTTNAGTGTTGTATGCATTGAATTTGAATCTATAATTCAACTTGAGAACTCTTGCCATGATCATTATAATTATAAAAAATTATTTTCCGAAAGAAAGATTATTTTCAAGAAAATATACAATGTTAAAAAGGAAAAAAAAAAATTACAGAATTTACTTTTAGTAACTAAGGATATTTAGTGAACAATTACACATACTATTTTAAGTAAATGTCAAATAGTGTATGTGAAACAGAAAGAGAGAGAGAGAGATATTGAAGGTCAGACGATCGGGAGGGGCAGGCGGAGGCGAGGCTGGCGGAAGAACATGAGTGGAGGTCGGACGATCTGACCGTATCCTCCATGCTCGTAGTGCTCTCTTTCGGCCTCCTCCCCCTTTGACCAGTATGCTCTTCACTATCTGTTCGACCTAATGGACACTACAAGAAATATGAGTTTTACCAACGGACCCAACGGATTGCCAACGGCTTACCAACAGATTTTTCTTGTTGCTATATGGCTTGTTACTAAATTTTGCCAACAGAAAATACAATCCGTTGGGAAAATTCCCAAAGGATTACCAACAAATTTGCAACGGAAATGCTTCATGAGATTGTCAATGGATTCCCAACGGAAAATGTAGTTGCTAAATCATTCCGTTGGCAAATTACTAACAGAAAGCCAACATATTAGTTACGAATATACTAACGGATTACCAACAGACTTTTCTCAACGGATTTCCAACGTAATTTTCTCAACGGATTACCAACAGATATTTTTCCAACGGATTACCATCGGAATTTTCCCAACGGATTACTAACGAAATTTTCCCAACGGATTGCCAACTAATATTCTTTCCCAACGGATTACCAACAAAATTTTCCCAACAGATTAGCAACGCATATTTTTAATAATAATAATAATAATAATAATAATAATAATAATAATAATAATATTGATCCAGCTTGGCTCACCTTGAGCCCATGGCCACCTTGAACCACACAGCTCACCATGACCCATGGCCATCCACCAATATAATCCTTAGTAATTCTCACAATTCTCCTAACAATAGGGCTTGAACTCAAGACCTCTTGCATGTAACACCACCACTAGGCTATATGAATGTATGAGACTGGATTCTACAATTCTTATATATATATAACACCACCACTCGGCTATATATATATATATAGAGAGAGAGAGAGAGAAAGGATCATATAAGAATGACTCTTAATGCGAGAAATGAGAATGAGTCTGGATCATTGGATCCAACATATCAATGATTTTGATCAAGTCAAAATTGGTCAATCATTAATGGCAATATGGTAAATTAACATATCTTTGTAGTCAAACATACATATTTGACTACTCAATAGGGACAATCCGGTCATTACACACTAACCTACCAACCCTAATATTTATATCCACTCAAACACACACAAACACACACAATACACACACGCACACACTCATCGCGCACACACACACACACTATCCAGCGGCCCGGCGGAAAGTGGCCCACAAATCACCGGTCGCCGCCGCCACAGGACTGCCGCCGCTACCATCTCGACGAGCGCCGCCAGCCATCCCTATCAGCGCTCTCTCTCTCTCCCTTCCTCCCAGACACGCCGGAATCAACACACCCAAACTACCGGCCACTTACATTCACCTAATCTCTCCCGTCGCCGCCCAATCGGTCGCCGCCGCTAACATCCCGTCGAGCGTCGTCGTCCATCCCAGCACCGCCATCAGTCACCCGCACCCCTCTCAAACTCGCTCAGCCTGCCCGTGGATCGCCCCGATTGTACTGATGGCGAGGGCCACCGTTCCGGCGAATTGCAGAGAAATAGTTAAGGGATTGAGACCTGAACGGGACGAGCTCGCCGGCGATCTGAACGGGAGATGGAAGCGGCGGCCGGAAATTCTATTGGGGCTGAGGAATTGCATCATTTATTTGGGTGAATTTTGATTTAGGTGCAAATTAATTGGTCAATCTTTGTGTAGGAATTGTGTGAATTTGAGAAATACTATTGGAGCTGACGAATTGTATCATGATTTGGGGGAATTTTAATTTAGGTGAAAACTCAGTGAAGGAATTTTGGGAATTGGCCGTGTGAATGGTGTAGATGAAATGTAATTTGGGGTGATTTGTGTGTGAATTGATTTGGGGGAATTTTGATTTAGGTGCAAACTCAGTGAAGGAATTTTGTGAATTGGCCGTGTGAATAGTGTAGATGAAATATATTTGGGGTGATTTGTGTGTGAATTGATTTAATGTAAGACATTAATGTGCTATTTGCATAACAATAATGTGCATGTCTTTGATCGTAAATGTGCAAGATTGTGAGACATTTATCGATGATTTTTTTTATCACAATCCAAATTAAAACCGAATATAAATGATTAATTTATTCGGTCAGTTATTCGACTTAACCGAAATAACTAAATTAACTTATTATTTATATTTATAATATTGTATTTAGTATTTTAAAATTAAAAGTAAATATATACAATTGTTAGAAATATAAAGTTTCAAATCAAAAATTTTAATCTTGTCAATTGTGGTCTCTATTGAATAAAAATTTTTCCAAATAATATTTTTTAATTTAAGTTTGGTTTTTATTTAAGTTATTTAAATAAAAAACGAATGTCATCGTACCGATATTCCCCATAAATAATAATAATAATAATAATAATAATAATAATAATAATATTTATAATAGAACCAAAATATAAAATTTCGTACCGAATTTGTGTTTGTCAGATATCGTTTGATTTTGTGCAATCTGATAGACATTTATGTGCAATCTGTATAACCCTAACGTGCACTCGCAATACATAAAAAATATAGTTAAAAAATTATATCATTTATAATAAAAAATATAAATAAATAAAAAGAAATCGAGAATTTTTTTCATATAGTTGGGCATGTTCGGTTGTTTCGTTTATTTAAAAATTATTAAATCCGACATTAACCACCTAATATTATTCGATTGATCGTTTGAATCACTGCGACTTTAGTACATGGAAAGCGTCGTGTTATAAAGTGCAACGTAATGCTATATAAAGTTCAATGTATTGATATATAAAGTGCAATACCGAAATTTCGATATTTTAACATGTTTGTGTATATGCATTTTGTTTTTTTTAGGATATATTATGTGATAGATAGTAAAGTATTATGTCACTCAATTTTTTATATTTATATTGCATAATTATTTGGCGGTACTTGTTGACATTAATTGTGGAGTGTGGTTATAAAGTGCAATGTGTTGTTTTATACAGTTCGACGTGTTGTTTTATAAAGTGCAATGTTCAGCTATATAAAATGCACTAATTTATACTTTCCCATGTGTATCCGAAAACTAGTTTTAATCGATATATTTTTACATCTAATTAACTTAAATAATTAAAATGTATTTTCATTTGTTATTTTTATTATATAATTTATTTATTATTATAATTTTTTTTAATATTTTATAATATTTTTTATTTAATAATTTATTTGTTATTCATATATATGCATTATTAAGAAAGGGTCACATGCAGACACGGTCAAAGGGTTTAATCTTAGTCAAGCACACGGTGATATTTCTGTAAATAAGTGGACTTTTGATTTTTCATGCAGGGGTATTTTAGTTATTGCGTAAAATGCACTATTGCGATAAAGTGCAACATCACATGCAGTAAAGTGCAATTTGTATAACAATATGGTGCAGTCTGTATAGTGATATTTTTAATGATTCCGAAATCGATATGGTGCAATGCACTGTACATTAAAGTGCAATTATAAAAGTTTTATTAAATTACTGATTTGACCCATTAACCAAATTGTAATATAATTAAAATTTATAAAATTGCAATTAGGTCCCTTAAACATATCTAATTTTCAAAAAAAAAAAAAACCCCCAAACCCCCAAATTCAATTTCCCGTCCACTTTGCCGGTGATATTAGGCAGCGGCGGCCTCACGCTCATCATCTCCGAAAGCCATAGCCGGGTTGTGTTAAGAGAAGTGATTACTCATTGAACAAATGATTCGACAAATCCCAATTGATCGACCGCGAATTTATGTGATTTGAAGCCCCAATGTGTTTTAGTCTCTGCTTGTCGATTTCGAGGTCGTCGGAGGACTGCGAATCCGGTAAGCGCCGTTGCGGGTCTCCAATGGACACGGACTTCGGCGGATGGATCTGCAATTCTACTTGCACAAATACATGAACCTATTTTTTCTTTATCAACAATCTCATCTAATCTAATAAATCCACCCCTCAATTCCTCACATCACAATAAAGATCAAATTTTCCAAAACAAAAAAACCCAAAGAGAAAAATGTTGAAAAAATCCGTCAATCATAACACCATCCTTTCACCTCCATTGTCGTCTCCAAGTTCAAATCCAAGCAGCTTGACGACAGAAGAGCCAGACGAGAGCCCTTCAAATTCTTTCCACTCCTATTCTCCCCCAAACCAAAAAATCCCCTTCTCCCAACCCTACAAATCCCTCGCCATCCTAAAAGGCCACGTGGCCCCGTCTCTTCCCTCTCCCTCTGCGGCGAGTTCCTCATCAGCGCCTCCCAGAGCAGGGACATAATTGTCTGGCAAAATCCCCAACTCAAATTCTTCACCAGATTCGGCCACGGGGATGGGTCGGTCAAATCCCTAGTCGCCCTTGGCCACAAGATCTTCACCGCCTACCAAGACGGCAAAATCCGAATTGATTGGAGATGGATCTGCAATTTTCTGGCGGCGGAGTCGCGGGCGACCGAGGTCGGTTCCAGTGGTCTGCTCATGTGGAGGCGGGAATCTCTGAGATGGCGACGGCGAAGGTGGTATTGGCCGATGGCGGGACGGTGACCGGTGATCGACTGGCCGAGTTGCAACGGGAAGTGTGTGTGAGTGTGTGTGTTTACTGTTTATGGGTGTGTTCGTGTGAGAGAGTGGGGTGGTGTGAGGTATAATTACCCACGTGCCCTTCGATATAATTGCAGTATTAAATCCCACAACTGCTTGACATCCGTTAGATTGTGTTGATCGTGTGCACCATATTTATTCTCAGTTCTCGCATTAAGAGTCATTCTCACCGGAGCGTGACCCTATATATATATATACGAGAAAATAATTAGTATATATATATAAATTATATTCTATATTTAAATTCATAAATATTTCTATATTATTTATGATCTTTTATTTTTCAAACATATTATTTATGATCTAACCGTTCAATTATATTAGGTGTTTTTTTTAATGTCTAATTATAAAAATAGTGACTATATATATTACTATCTATAAATTTATGACATTATTAAATGAACTAGTACGAATCCCGTGCAACGTACGGGTAAGAAGTATGTATTAGATTTTATAAATTAAAAATACACATTAAATATTTATAAATTAAAAATATGGAATCAATGTGTAGTACAATTTATCTATATTAACTTATTAAAATGTTATATGAAATTTAAATTGTGAAAAATTACATAAAATATGTCTATTTAAATTAGTACACAACTCGTACGGTGGACTAACTGATAATAAATTATATAATATTTATTTCAAAATAAGTGATATTTTCAAAAAAATATTTATAGATTCAATTACAATGTGATTCCATTAAAGAAATATTTTGGTAAAATTTTATCAAATATTTAAATATCTATTAAAATAATAAGTATAATTATAAAACATATATTGTTTAGTTAATTAAAATAAATTTATTTTTGTATAAACTATCCAAATAAAAAATTTTAAGTAGTTGAGTAATTTATTAAATTAAATAATTAACTATTTCATTTACGTCAAAGTTAGTATTGACTCATAAGTTATGAATAATTACTTATTTAACTTTTAAATTTGAAACTCAAATTTCGACTACATAATAAATTTTCATTTATATATGTATGTATACACACATAAACACACACACATATATATATATATATATATATATATATATATATATATTCTCGCAATTTTCTAGATTTTTTGTCGGCCAGCTTATCATTCAAATTTATTACCTCATTAAATAATGTTTACAAAATAAAAATAAAATAAAAATATAGAATAAATATGTAATATAATTTACCTATATTAATTTATTGAAAATATTATATGTAATTTAAACTGTGCAAAATTACGTAAATGTGTCTATTTAAATTAGTACACAACTCGTACAATGCACTAACTGATAACAAATTATATTATATTCCTTTCAAAATAAGTGTCATTATAAAAATTTTTTTTCACAAATTAAACTAAATATTTTGGTAAAATTTTATCATATATCTAAATATCTTTATAAATAATAAGTACAATTATAAAATCATATATATGTATATATGATTTTTTAATATCATCTATCATCTATCATAATATTCAATACTCTAATTAAAAAACAATATCACAAAATTCAACGATAATACGACCTAATTACTAATTTTACTTTTAGGCTTAACATATTTATCAATGTCATAAAATCATATATATATATATGATTTTTTTTAATTATTATGATATATAACAAATTCTAAAAATGAATGGAATGCATATGTGGCACATATTTATTTTGAATTGATTTAAATATTATTAAATTAATTACATAACTAAACAATGTTAATGTAAATTAAATATTTATCATTATATATATATATATATAAAGAATTTTACTTTTGTCAGTGTTATAAATAATAATAAGAATGACATTATACGATTTTGAAAGAGTTTGTTGCTATTCCGTTGTTATTTACCAACGGAATAATCTGTTGCTAATACAATATTGAATGTGTCTGTTGCTATTCCGTTGCTATTTGACAACGAAAAAATTATGTTGCTATTTACCAACGGAATAGTCCGTTGCTATTACAATTTTGAAAGAGTTTGTTGTTATTCCGTTGCTATTTGCCAACGGAAAAATCCGTTGCTATTTACCAACGGAATAATCCGTTGCTAATACAATATTGAAGGTGTTCGTTGTTATTCCGTTCCTATTTGTCAACGGAAAAAATCCGTCGCTATTTACCAACCAAATAGTCCGTTGCTATTATAATTTTGAAAGAAATTGTTGCTATTTGCCAACGGAAAAAATCCGTTGCTAATACAATATTGAAGGTGTTCGTTGCTATTTGCCAACGGAAAAAATCCGTCGCTATTTACCAACCAAATAGTACGTTGCTATTATAATTTTGAAAGAAATTGTTGCTATTCCGTTGCTATTTGCCAACGGAAAAAATCCGTTGCTATTTACCAATGGAATAATCCGTTGCTAATACAATATTGAAGGTGCCCGTTGCTATTCCATTGCTATTTGCCAACGGAAAAAATCCGTTGCTATTTACAACGAAATAATCCGTTGCTAATACAATTTTGAAAGAGTTTCTTGCTATTCTATTGGTAGTTTGTTTGTATTTACTAACGAAATATTTCCGTCACTATTTGCCAACGAAATACAAAGATATAATTTTCGTTGGTATATTTTGTTAGTATTCTATTGGTAATCCGTTTATAAAAATTGTATATATAATGCATTACTAATCCGTTGGTAATCCCCAACGAAAAAATTTTTGTTGGTAATTTTTGTTGGCGTTTTGACAATTTCTTGTAGTGGGAGGGTCCGGTTTGATCTGATCGTTTTCCCGGTCTAGTCGACCTGCTAGCATCATCACAAGTAAAAAAGGCTTATTTGCACATAAAATCTTCACCTTTTGTGTAATTGCAAATAAAACTCAGATTTTTTATATTTGCAAATAAATATCAAACCTTTATTATGTGTTGCAAATTTGTTTCTAAACCTTTTTGTGGCCAATTTAGGTGACGTGTTCGATCAGAACACTAAAATTGCCTAAAAATCACTCGAAAATCGCTCCATGTGCCCAATTTTTCAGAATTTTGGGGTGAGCTCGTAAATGTATCGGAATGTTGGAGGTGAACTCGATATTTGGGGGGATGAAGAACCGCAACATGGAGAAGAGAAGAATCGCTGCAAATATTTTTTTTTAATGGGGGGAAAAGAACTCGATTTTTATGAAAATTATGGAGCAAAAAAATGGTAATAAAATCCTATTTTTTCAATTGGTACTATACTTTAATTTTGGTTAATTTGTTGCCACATGATGTGGCAAAACCATGGTGAGAAGTTTCAAAGATTGATGCACACAAGCCTCATAAGTGCCACGTAAGATTTTTTATCGGACACGTCAACAAGGATTGGCCGAAAAATGGTTTTGAGACAAATTTGCAACACATAATAAAAGTGTGGTATTTATTTGCAACGATGAAAATGTTGAGTTTTATTTGAAATTAGCGAGGATTTTAGGTGCAATTAAGCTAATAAACCAAATAAATAAATTAACAAATCTAATTGATCACATGTGCTTTCTATCGACTGAAAAAAAGAAAAAAAAAAATTGATCACATGTAAGTTCAACCCATTTACCCACTGAATTATCACCAATCCCCTAAAAAACAAACCAATCATTCGGCAATCCCAACATATACCAAATAGTCAAAACCAAAATTAGATTTTCCTTCATATTAGATTCACACAATTGTATTCCACATAAATCAATCATATAAGGTTGTCACAACCCACAATAATATTTCAGATAAATCTAAAGTGCAAATAATCATTATTCAATCTTTCCCTAGCCGTACGCGCCACAACAAATAAACTAAAACTTACGCGTATTGTGAAAATTAAAAAATATATTCCGAATAATAACAAGAGAAATATGGTTGAATAATTGCACCAAAAAATAAAAAATAATATGGTTGAATAAATTCAGCCAACTGGCGGTGTACCCAACTCCATTTTCATCACATACATTAATATATTTCCCCAAATTTTCAATGTCTTCAACCCACCACTGTTTCCTCCTCTCCCCACTCCAATTCCCATGACTTCCACCGCCGGCTCGCGGCGGCGCACCACCACCACACCCCCATTCCTCTTCTCAGCTCTCATTCTCTCCCTCCTCGCCTCTCAGATCCTCGGCGCCGCCGCGCGCGTCCGTGTGCCGAGCAACTACCGATTTCCGAACCCCAATCTCCGGCGGGCCTACATTGCCCTTCAGGCGTTGAAGAACTCCATCCACTCAGATCCGCGGAACATCACCCACAGCTGGAATAGCTCCAATGTGTGCTCCTACGAGGGTGTCTTCTGTGCTCCCTCGCCGGCGAATAGATCCCTCACGGTGGTCGCCGGAATCGACCTCAACCACGAGGACATCGCCGGCTCACTGCCGCCGGAGCTCGGCCTGCTCACAGATCTGGCCTTGTTCCACATCAATTCCAACAGATTCTGCGGCGTCGTCCCCAAAACCTTGGCCAGGCTCCGGCTACTTTTCGAGCTTGACCTTAGCAACAACCGATTCGTCGGCGGCTTTCCGAGGGTGCTTCTGAATCTGCCGTCGCTCAAGTTCCTGGATCTCCGGTTCAACGAGTTCGAGGGCCCCGTGCCGCCGGAGGTCTTCGACAAGGACCTCGACGCGGTTTTCCTGAACCACAACCGGTTCCAGTTCAGCCTGCCGCCAAACTTGGGCAACTCGCCGGTTTCGGTTCTGGTCCTGGCGAGCAATAACTTTGGCGGATGTATCCCTGCCAGCATTGGGAGGATGGGCGGGACACTGAACGAGCTGATTCTGATGAACGACAATCTGACGGACTGCCTGACGCCGCAGATTGGGAACTTGACGGAGCTGACGGTGTTGGACGTGAGCTTCAATAGGCTGAGGGGGCCGTTGCCTGGGGAGATCCGGCGAATGAGGAAGCTGGAGCAGCTGAACGTGGCGCACAACCGGCTGACGGGGGTGGTGCCGGGTGACATTTGCCAGCTGCCGCGGCTGGAGAATTTCACCTATTCGTACAACTACTTCACGGGGGTGGATCCAGCTTGCGGTCGGCCAACGTTTGACGGGCAGCAAAATTGCATAGCGAACAGGACACATCAGAGGTCGGGTCGGGAGTGTTCTTCGGAAGGGGCCAGGCCGTTTGACTGCAGTAGGTCTCAGTGCGGTGGTGGTGGAGGTGGGGGAAGGAGCGTGAGGCCTGGGCCGAGAAGGAGGCCGCCGGTGGGGAGACCTCCGTCCCCAAGGCCGTCTCTGTCTCCGAGACCTTTTATCCAGGCTCCACCGCCTACGACACGCTCTTCGAGGCCGCGACCACCACCTCCTCCTCCTTTGCCACCATCTCCACCTTCACCATCACTGTCCCCACAACCACGACCTCCACCTTCACCTTCATCACCACCTCCTCCTCCGTTCCCACCACCACCATCTCCTCCTTCACCGTCACCTTCTCCACCACCACCACCATCGC